ATAATTCATGATTACCTCGTTAAAAACCTTACCAAGAAAAACCCAATTGTGATAAAAACTTGGCAAGGAAAAAAGAGTGCAATCATTTTGTGACGAATTGTAAATTTTACAAACTTACAAATTGTATATGTCAAAGGTAGGGCTGTTCATGGGTTGGGTTGGTGCGGGGTAGGACTTTTTTTTCCCCACCCTAAAGGGTGCGGGTTGCACATATTTGGCCCCAACGATGTTAGAAAACTTTCACAACCCAACGATGTTCGAGTTGGGTTGGGGCGGTGCGGGGTGGGTTGGGTGGTCGGTTTCGACATTCAAAAAATCAAAGACTTAAAGTTCAATATAATATTCAAACTTCATCATTAAATAGAAATAGTAACCATCCTTATTAGTCCGGCGAGAGAGCACCGGAGAAAGTGGGCAAGACGGCGGCCGAGAGGACTGAGCAATGAGGAAAGAGTTATGAGGGGGTTCACGGGAGGGGAAGAAGAGGGAAAATTAAAAAGGAAGAGGCAATAAGAGGGGGTTCATGGAAGGGGAGACCGAGAATGAGATTGTGAACCCTAATGTTAGCGAGCCTAGGGGAGAACTTGGGCAGTTCGGCTTGGGCCGAAAGCTTGGGGGTATGTTGTGCGGGTTGGGTTGGGGATTGCGGGTTGTTATGGGCCCAACCCGCAATCCGCCCCAAACATTTCGGGCCAGAGGTATAATGAGCCGCAAATTTAAAAATAATGCTGCGGGTTGCTTTTTTCGGCTTGGGTTGGGGCGGGGTGGGTTGGGTTTGCGGGTTGTTCGGGTTTATGAACAGCCCTAGTCAAAGGGAAATACATATTTACAAATTACAAATTTATAATTTAATTTGAAGCTGAATGATCGTCTTTAAAATTAAATGTTAATCGATTAAATTCATCGATCCATTCTTGGCTTGCCGGAGAAATTGTATCTTGTAGACGTTGATCGGCCCGATCCCAATCATTGATGCAAACCAAGGCTTCAACATTGAGTGACTGGTCTTTTAAAATAGAGATCATCAAATAGCGATGAAGTTATTAAACCAATCATTGAGTGACTTTTGATAAATTATTAATTTACTTTAGTATGCAAGTAGAAAGTTACTTTGATATAGAGTCACAAAGATAGTGAAGAAAGTAGAAGAAAAAAGAGGATAATTAAGAGGATGAAGAGAGATTGTGAACAGAAAAATAGATAAAGATAGAAAGAAGAGTGATATAGAGTAGAAAAACACGAGTATCTATAAGAATAAAACCGGCATTATATAGAAACAACACTTTTTAAAAATAAAAAATAATAAAAACATGATGACAATGTGTTTCTTTCCTTGTGTATATTGCTTTTTGAGGAATCCTTTTATCATGTGATTGATTATAAAAAAGGGTCAAGAATGTGAAAACTGAAATATTAAACTGTTAAAATAGGAATTTGCTCTTTCTATTAAAGAATTGTGTGTTTACCTTAATTAATAAGTTAAAAATTTAAATAACAAATATGGGCATTTGGTCTAGTGGTATGATTCTCGCTTTATATACGAGAGGTCTTGAGTTCTATTCTCAGAATGCCTCAATTTGTAGCAACTAATATTTTCATTGGCGGGTTCGGGCGGGTTTCGGGCATTCGGGCAACTCGGGCTTTTGGGCAAAATTCGGGTTTTCTGGCTTATTTTTGGGTCGGGCACAACAGTCGGATTTTTGAACATTTTTTCAGATAGTTCGGGCTTCGGGCGGGTCAGGTAGTCGGGCATGGCCGAAAAAATTTAAAAAAACTCCAGCGGATAGCGGTCGAAGGCACCTACACGGCGGCGGGCTCCGGCATGGTCTCAAAATTCGGGCTGCCCGAGCCCGAATTTCCACCTTGGACGGGCCGGCATATGGGCCTGCCTGCCCGAGCCAGAAAAAATTCGGGCTTCGGGCAGCCCGCCGGCCCAAAGTTCCACCATTGACTTGCACTGATGAGTATTGGAATGATTTTTGTGAGGTCAGTATATGGCATACTTACTCCATAATTTCAAATTGTTATATGCTTTTTGTTCATGACATTTAACATGAGTATGAGATTATGTCAATATCACAATATGACTTCTAAATACTTATTGGCACTTTTGTATTTTGTTTTGTTTACTTCCATAAATTTTTATTCTTTTTTTTACCCTAACCAACGTTAGCCAGACTAATTTGGAAGAAGCTACTGATATGGTACAGATTGTGGTATATAATTAAACCACACTTTCCCTGAACAAAGAATAGGAACCCCCTTTAACTAAAATACAAGGAATACTCACCTTCAAAAAAAAAGAAGAAAAAAAGAAAGGAATACTCTTGTAATTGTCATCAACATAAATAAGATTTATGATGAAAAATGTAAACTATTTTATTAAAAACAAAATTTCACAGCTTGAGGACAACCAAAT